CAAGAAAGGTAGAACTTGAGGAAATTAGGGTGGATATTTTACCATCTTATTTCCCTCAAGATAAAGTTAATCTTCAACCTATACAGCAGGTTGAAACAAATGATTCGCCACTCCATTCACCACTTCATGAAGATGGCATCATTGGCAATATTGTAGAACCACCACAACCGGTAGCTTTGAGGAAATCTCAAAGGGAAAGGAAATCTGCCATATCCGATGATTATGTGGTGTATCTACAAGAATCTGATTTTGATATTGGTATTCAAAATGATCCAGTTTCATATTCACAAGCCATGAAAAGTAAAGATTCTAATAAATGGATTGATGCTATGAGTGAAGAGTTGAAATCAATGGACTATAACGGTGTCTGGGATCTTGTCGAATTGCCTAAGAACAGTAAGAAAGTCGGTTGTAGATGGGTCTTTAAGACCAAACGTGACTCTAAAGGCAATATCGAAAGATTTAAAGCTAGACTAGTGGCCAAAGGTTTCACTCAAAAGGAAGGCATTGATTATAGAGAAACTTTCTCTCATGTATCTAAGAAAGACTCTCTTAGAATCGTTATGGCTGTTGTAGCTCATTATGATTTGGAGTTGCACCAAATGGACGTTAAAACCGCTTTTCTGAATGGGGATTTAGATGAAGATATCTATATGGACCAGCCTGAAGGATTTGCAAAACAAGGAAAGGAACACTTGGCTTGTAAATTAAAGAAATCCATATATGGACTTAAACAAGCTTCTAGACAATGGTATATAAAATTCAATGATACCATTACTTCCTTTGGATTTAAGGAAAACACTGTTGACCAGTGTATATATCTAAAGGTCAGTGGGAGCAAGTTTATATTTTTAGTCTTGTATGTGGATGATATTTTACTAGCAAGTAGTGATCTTGGTTTGCTTCACGAAACCAAGAATTATCTTTCCAAGAATTTTAAGATGGTTGATATGGGTGAGGCAAATTATGTTATTGGGATAGAGATCTTTAGAGATCGATCTCGTGGATTGTTAGGCTTGTCTCAGAGAGGATATATTAATCGAGTTCTTGAAAGATTTAATATGCAGTTTTGTTCAGCCATTAATGCTCCTATCACGAAAGGTGATAAATTAAATGAAAAGCAATGTCCAAAGAATGATTTGGAAAAGGAGAAAATGAAATTGATTCCATATGCATCAGCAGTTGGAAGTCTGATGTATGCACAGACTTGTACTAGACCAGATATTAGTTATGCAGTGGGAGTACTTGGTAGATATCAAAGTAATCCGGGAATAGATCATTGGAAAGCAGCAAAGAAGGTTATGAGGTATCTTCAAGGAACAAAGGATTACATGCTTACTTACAGAAGATCGGACCAATTAGAGGTTATTGGTTATTCAGACTCCGATTTTGCTGGTTGTGTAGATAGTAGAAAGTCCACATCGGGCTTTGTATTTCTACTAGCTGGTGGAGCAATCTCTTGGAAGAGCGTAAAGCAAAGTATTATTGCTTCTTCCACAATGGAGGCTGAGTTTGTAGCATGTTTTGAGGCCTCGAGTCATGCACTATGGTTGCGAAATTTTATCTTAGGGCTTAAGGCTGTTGACTCAATTGCTAAGCCATTGAAGATATATTGTGATAACACCGCAGCCGTTTTCTTCTCTAAGAATGGAAAGTATTCAAGTGGATCCAAGCACATGGATCTTAAGTACTTGGTTGTTAAAGAAAGAGTCCAGAAACAACAAGTGTCAATAGAAAATTTAAGTACAACTCTTATGGTTGCTGATCCATTAACCAAGGGATTGCCTATAAAGACATATGAGGAACATGTTATTAGAATGGGTCTTTTGAGCAATCCATGATTTAATGAGTTATGATTATGTAATTGACACTTAATTTATTTAATGAAATGTTTCTGTTTTCCTATTTCCAATTATGTGTGCACATATTATATTTGGATTTAACAGGGTTTGTCCTAACAAGACAAAATTAAAGGGGCTATTATGGATTAGAATAGTAAGGGTTATTAGTGGCGTGATACATAGAAGGGAATATGATGAATGAATCATATAACCGCTATGATTCACATTAATAACTCAAGCTAGTTCTAGTATTAAAGTACTCTATTTACCTATTATGGTAATCACCTTAATTTTATTTTAAAATCGTGATCACGTGTCAAATGTTTTGTATGAAGAACCCACCGAGTCAAATAATTTTTAAAACTTATTTTTCTTAAACGGTTCAATGGGCCAAGTGGGAGAATGTTAGTTTTATTTTTGTAACGTTTTATTTTAATGGCCCATTAACCTTTGTAATAAATTTATTAATTGTGGGTAATTCAAATCATGGTATTAAGGTGATTTTATGGTAATTGATTTGTAACGGTGAAGGCAGTAAAAGACCATGATGGGTGGGATTTGTCTTCTGCCGTTACAAATCAATAGTGGCCCTCTTCTCTCGTCTATAAAAGAAATCCACAGCTCTTCTCCTCAACCATCAGACGCAATTGAGAATTCCATCACTTACAGAATACTAGTGAGTTGTGATATTAGAGAGATGGAGAGAAGAAGGTGTGCTACGAATAAAGTTCTCACAAGGAGATTCGAAGGAGGCCTGGCTAGGCTCGGCTTGTAGATTGCTATCGTTCATCCTCTCTATCGAAACCCATGGCGAACGGTATGTCGATAATCTCTATTACGTGATTATATTCGTAAGATGAATTTGATTTCAAGATTCTGTGGTTAAAGTTTTCCGCATAAAATTAAATAAAAGTCTTTCATACTATTCAGCGTTTATTCAATTATTCCTTCTGTTCTGCACTTTTTTTCTTTTGTATTATGGGACAGAATATTAAGAGAGAGAGAGAGAGAGAGAGAGAGAGAGAGAGGAGAGAGAAACAGTTTTAATATGGGACGGCACAATAAGATGCTATATTCCGCGCATGTCATTCCAACTAAATTACCTGAAAACTTCAAATATTGCGTGAATAGACTATAATGCCCCTTTCTTTTTTTATTATTTCAATTAATTCTAATACTTAAAGGCATGACTGATCAGATTAATTCGGATTGGATTGGGTTATACTAATTATTTACTCATTAACCAATTAGGAATTATATGATTAATTATATACAATCTTATATATAAAACAAAGAAACGTTGAGCAACCCTAAAAAACTCTAATGGAATTTCAGCAATTAATTATTTTTTATATTTTTTCTTCACTAATTTCTAACTATATTTTTTAACAATTATCAAAATTGAAACTAAAGTGTGAAGAATCCTATCCTAATTGTATTTCTATAATTATTTATTTTTAAATTTTTTTCTACTAATTTTGTTATTATAATTTTCAACAATTATCAATCTCCTATATTTCATCAATATATCTCAAATCTTAAGAGATAAAGATATAAATTCGATTTGTTAAATCTTAATCTATATATTTAGATTATAAATCTTAATATGTAAGATTTTAAAAAACTAATATTATATAGAATATGAATAATACATTATTAAATTTTACTATGTTAGTGATATTTTCTTATTATGCATTAAATTGATTTTTTTTTTCACTTTTGAAATAATATCCCGTGAAAAAAGAAACGCTAGTTATATTTAATTAGACAATATCAGATTATTTTTTTGTTGATTAACTAATTATTTAGTCAGTAAGATATTTAGTTCCTTAGATTAAATCTTGTATTAAATTTATTAAAACCCAATAGTTTTACGACAAATGAATTGTGCACGATTGAAGCCCAATAGTTTTAACCCAGAGCTGAACTTTGCCAGTGAAAGGAGGGTAAATTAGGCATTAGCTACTTTATAATAAATATGTATAAAGGTCTCAAATAATAAATAAACTCAAATTAGCTACCCCAATATTCAAGTGCAAAATAATACAATGTTAGAAAATCCACTCAAATTAGCTTTTCCACATAAAAATCACGAGTACTAAAGCTGTTTTCGGCTTAAGAGACGAGGGCCAGAAAAAAAACGGAAGGATCAACTAGAGGTCAAGATCCGTAAATAACTATCACATGCAAATAGAATTTTCGAAACAACCTTAAAAAGTTAGCTTCTTGCTGCAGCTCAAGAAATTATTAGCCCGAGCCATTGTGAATTTACCCTTTTGTCCTCATAATCGTGATGCTCCCTTTCCCACCTTCGGTGCGTATTTTAGTTTTCCCCACAACGGGTTTTCCGGAAAAAGCCGATGTGGGATAAGAGAGAGAATCTTCTTCGATTTTCGGTTTTGGTGGATTATGTATCCTTTGATTTATGTCTTTAAGAGTCACATCTCCATGCACACCACATGGTTTAATGAAGGCGAATGGATAGACAATTGAGGAAGCTAGTTTAGACGGTGTACGAATGTACGACCTTCTACCTGATAGGGGTAGAATCGTAAATAAACAAAGATAGAAAGGAATTTGGTCATCACAAATAACCAATAAAAAAAAAAACATTTTACCTTTGAAAACGACATTTTGATGAGTGCGAACAGGCTGTTTATTTACTACTTCATTCGGATAATATTCTGGAGGGGTATTGCAAAGCTCTGCACGAGACACATTTTACATGTTTTAACTTTTAAGCAATGAAGAAAAAATGGAGCTATTTATTAGTAAGTAACAGTTGGAATTTTTTTAATTTTTTTTGTATTACCTGTAATGTCGATTTGAACATCATCAGATTGTCCGAATGCACTACTTCTGTTTAGACAAAAAGCTTAGTCAATAATATGATTCTACTGAGAAAAAAAAAATTATATTATATTATATATATGTGTGTGTGTGTGTGTGTGTGTGTGTGTGTGTGCGTGATGAACATACATATCTTCATTGCAGAAATGCATATCAGCATCATTAAAGCAATCGGCAATCCACCCTTCAGATGTAGGGTCCAAACATTCATTACCAGATACAGATGTGCTCTCTGTAAAGATCAGAACAACATCACTTGTTATCCTTTAGAGCAATAAATTTCCATCTATTTCAATGTATATATATATATATATATATATATATATATATATATATATATATCCATCTACGAGACCTGTGAATTCAGCAACCCACTGTGACATTTCACTAGATAAACCATCTTCAAGAGAATCCGGTGTTTCCTAAACATGGAACAAAGAGCAGATTTCAAGTATGTCAATTTTAAAATCATTCTTGATTTACAAATATAAAGACAGAAATCAAATATGTGAATTTTAACTCGATATAACTTCAAATTTAGCTACAAATTTACTAGTAAGTGTTTGCGCAAAATAGTAGTTTTAAAACGAGTCACGAGACAACATTATTTCTAACAAATAGATGTAACTGTACCAATTGCACGGCAATGTTCAAGAGAAATAAAGAATGAGTCGAGCATCAACCTTGGATCTTAAAAACATCTCGTCGTTGCAAATAGGTGCATCGAGAATTTCAGACTCAAACTGTAGCATTCTGCGCCGTTTCACTTGAGAAGAATGCTCCCTATAGTGATCCACCTCTTTCCCCGTCATTTCTGCAGTTGTGCGATGCCATAAACATGAGCACCATTTTTTCGTAGAATAAATATTTCGCAGTTTCCTCGGATACAAATCCTTCCCC